AGAGAGAGAGAGAGAGAGAGAGAGAGAGAGAGAGAGAGAGAGAGAGGTATATGATTTGCTTTAAAACCTACAGTTTAATATTTTTCCACTAGATGGGAGTATAACACTTGTTACCCTATATTTTTTGCTATGAATGTAGAAAAAAAAACTTAGAATTCTCCATTTAGTTATAAGGAAAGTTCCTAACATACCAGTTGAGGAATTTAAATTACTGCTATGTGACTAATGATGTAAAAGGCCTTAAATCTGCATAATTGTGATCATCAAAAAATTCTTTTTGGATAAGTGTCAAATTTAGCATTCTAGGACCATATATGGCCTGCACTTCAGTGTTTTACAGATTTTGGAATCTTGGTTGCTGTTCACATCATAAAAAAAAGAATGTGAATAAAATATTTATATTCTTGAACATTTACAGAAATGTGGGGAGATTTGTGTTGTGCAGAAGAGACTCCAAATTGCTGTTAATAATAAAAACATGAAAATATACCTGCTGGATCAGATTGGTTATGGTGATCAAACAGAACTTTGTGTGGTGACCACAAGCAGAAAGCAGAGGCAGATCTATATTCCACTGTTGTGTGCCTCTCGTTATGAAAGGGATATTGTCCCCAAATTAATAATAACAATGTAATCTCAGAATCAATAGTTTTGAATAGTCCTGTTTTGTCTTTGCCTTGGTATGTACTGATCTAAATTAAAATGATTATCAACCCAGTTCATTTCAAATTTTGCTGAAATGTAACCATTACTTTCCTAATTATTTGGATGTAAATTAGGAAACAGTGCATATCCTCTTTTGTATTTAAATATAATTTAGAAGGAAAACATAGTTTAGAAATTGTAAATTGAGACAAAAATCAGTTAAGTGTGTTATAAAAACTAAGGATAGAGAAAATACAATAAAATTGGTAGCTTTAAATTATAGAACAACAAACATCAAATGCTGTTTCATTCTTGCCTATATATAACTTTATTTATTTAACAAGTTTATATAACCGTTCAATTCACAAATAGCGTCTCTGTGTTAAAAATCCAGTATAACCCCCTGCCCCCTCCCTTTTGCTACTTATTAACAACAGAACACGTAAGAAACTCATACTACATCCCATAAGGGCAAGTTCTGAAATTTGGATGCTACTTAAAAGTACTTGTTAAGACTCATTAGATCAGGCATGTCAAACTCGCAACGTCACGTGACGTCGCACGACATATCGTGGCAATGGAGTGGGCGCGGTTTCAGCGTGATGCATCCGACCCGCAGGCCGGCAGTTTGACATGCCTGCATTAGATGCTCATAGAAGAAATATCTGTGGTTCAGGGTTAAACTATTGAGTACTTAATGCTCTCTGAGCTTGGTTTTTTTCTTGCAGAAATTTCTTTACCCAACTAGATAAAATCTTCAGTGCTAGAATTAAAGTAAATCCTACACCCTTCTAGCACTGAAGATGTTATCTTTTTGGGTAATAAAATATCTGCAAGAAAACAATCAAGCTCAGAGAACATCATGGATTCCACCATTGATAAAACAAATAATAAGGCTTCCAGTAATTGTAGGTAACTGAGAAACCTCTTTGGTTTTTCTGGACATTTATTCATGGATTTTACTAAATAATAAATTTCAGCAGTAAAGAAAAGTGGAGCTATATTTGTGATGATTGTATGTTATAATTACAGTTGGGATTCTGCTGGGCTGAATAAATTCTACAGGACCAGTTCTATTTTCATGTATCTATGTTGTCTAAATTATGCTTCTCTTTTGAACCTAGAAAAATATGTCGAAATTGCAAGTGTGGGCAAGAGGAACATGATGTTCTCACCAGTAATGAAGATGACCGCAAAGTGGGAAAGCTCTTTGAGGATACAAAGTATACAACTCTAATTGCAAAGCTGAAATCAGATGGTATCCCCATGTATAAGCGTAATGTAATGATACTGACTAATCCCATGACAGCCAAGAAGAATGTGTCCATCAATACAGTAACTTACGAATGGGCACCTCCTGTTCAGAATCAAACCTTGGTGAGATATTATCATAAAGACTCATATGTTAGTGAGGAATAATGATCCTTTCTGCTTATGGTGGAGTTGGAAGGAGACAAGCAAGTCAGGAATAGTCTCTTTTGGCAGGCAGAAACTATATATAAGGAATGTAATATGCAAATGGCATAATTGTCTCAGCTACAATTCATGACTGAATGTGCAGATAAGAGGAATTTACTTTCCTGGTTTTCTTGTGCAAGTTTCTCTTCAAGCAGCGAGTGCAATTGGTTTGCAGCATGGACATAAGAAAAATAATGATGTTTGAGTGAGACTAAAAAGGAAGGGGAGGTGAGTTTGTGCTCATAGTTAGGAGTAAGCATTACATTGGAGGCATCCCTGCCACTTAAGATGATTTATGAATCCTCAAATGAACCATTTTAAAATGACATTCCGAAATGGGACACCACACTGGGAAAAAACCCATGAACCTATGTCATCACTTAAATCCTGAGGAAAAGCACTCAAGCATGCACATTTCTGTTACTGTATATGGTCAGAATAAATTCAGTATTGTCAACCAAAAGAAAAAGCTCCCTCTGGTTTATTAAATTATTCTTCTAGACGAGATAGTTGGATAGCCTTGTTGGGATTTTTCTTTTTTCCTTTTAGTGCTTCAATCTTAAGTTTATATAACGTCATGCTGGGTGATCTAAAACAGAAGCACTTGTAAACCTTAAAGGGTTAGGTTTTAGGGATTATTTAAGAAACTCTGTGAAGATATTTGTCAGGTTTGTTATATTTTGCTATTAGGAAAAATCCTATTTTGGGGGAGAAAATAATCCTTCTGTTGTCAGGAGACCAACAGCAAATCATAGTTAGGATAAAAACTAATTAATAGCTAAAAGTGTTCAGTGTTAGTACTGAGTGACAGTGGAGGAGAGCCACACTTTTATAATCTTAAATCTAAACTTTGGCTCTTTGTTTCAGGTGACTTAGCAACTCTATCTCCCCCATCCGCATCTTGTTCTCTGTTTCCCCTGAAGATGAGCAATTTCTACAGAGCACTCCTAATCTCCTTTCATTTTTTGTTTAGAAAGCTGGAATCCAATGGACCATTAATTTTAGCCCTCTTTCCTCACTCTTTAGGCGAGGCACTATATGCAGATGCTTCCAAAGGAGAAGCAGCCCGTGGCTGGCTCGGAAGGGGCTCAGTACCGCAAGAAACAGTTGGCCAAGCAGCTGCCTGCTCATGATCAGGACCCTTCCAAATGCCATGAGCTAACACCTAATGAGGTGAAGCAGATGGAGCAATTTGTGAAGAAATACAAGACCGAGGCGCTGGGTGTGGGTGATGTCAAGCTTCCCAGTGAAGTGGAAGGGAAAGCCGAAGAAAAGAATGTCCTGAGTAATGGCAAGAAGGGAACCTCCGCTACTGTAGGAGCCATGGAAGACAAACAGGCTGGTCAGAAAGGAACTCAATATGTAAGTGGGTGATGCATGTGTATGTGAGTGTGCGTGTTCAAACAGCAGATCAAAGAAAATAAATTATTTGGAAGTTTATTCCCTCATAATGTGCTTCCTGTATTTGCAGCTTAAAGTATTATAATTTTCTCTCTTTTAAAAAAAGAAATGAAAGTTTTTGCTTGCATAAAATCCTATCCCTTTAGATGTTATTATTTTAAGGGGGTTTTCTGCAAACTGAAATTGATAGAACAAAAACAAACACCTATGGTGACCAGGAGTGGTGATTACTGATAGGAGAGGGATCCACAAAATCTGACAATTTCTACTACTGGTTAGACTTTAATGAAAAAAAATGATCTTAAGAAATCATCTAGGCCAGCCCCAAGCTCAGTGCAAGGATCTTTCTTTTAACAAGTAACAGAGATGTAACAGTGCAGGATTTGTTTAAATACCATTAGGGGCAGCCACCATATATTAGACAGCCTCAATTAAAAAAAAAATTCAAAAGCTGAGCCAAAATATCCACTTCATAATTAAAATATCTTTTGGGCAGCAACAGAGAGCAATTCAACCATGCAGAGCTCTTACAATAATATTAATATAACATGCCCAGCTGGAGATCTGCATAGAGATCAATATTTTGTCTTTTGCTGGTGAGCGAACTATATTTAGATGAGAGACATTAGTTCCCCAAAGTGGTGTGCTGTATTATTTCTTTTTAAATGTTTTTCAAGAGGAAAACTGATAACCCTGCAGGAAAACAAATCTCCCTAGAGGTGGATAGAGGAAACTGACCATTGAATGGAAGCCAACAAAAGAAAGCTATTCTTGTTTCCTCTTTTCCCACTTAATTTAAAAAGAAGGTTCTTTGGTACCACTTTAAAATTGAATTTACAACTTCCTCATTGTTTGTTTCAATCAATGAGTCATGAAAACAGACACACCAGAAAGCCAGTGTGCTATACAGATACAGAAGCAAATCCCCCCTCAGTTTATTGATGCTCATGGGGAGACTTTCTCAACCCAGCATCCCACATATGGTTGAGGTGGGGGAAAATATGATGAAACTTTGATAACCTGAGATTTAGACACTTTTCTCTTTCTCCAGAGTGGCCATAAAAAGCAGGCTTAGAATATCTGTTTTATATATTATCATTTTCTGAAATCCAAACTGAGAAATAAAAAAGGCAAATAGTTGTAGCCTAGTGTAATGTTTTTTAGCTTGGCAACTATAAGATATGTGGACTTCAACTCCCAGAATTCTCTAGCCAGCAAAGGTTGAGAAACACTGGTCCTAGACCTAGTGCCTTTGTTTGAAAGTGTGTTCAACTTTAGGCGACAATAGGAAGTTTCCTGGAAGGCAGTGAACAACTTCAACTGTTTCAGGGACTTATGTCCATCACATACTTCCGTAACTTTCCAAAGGTAGGAAATTCACGAAAGACATCAGTTTATGGTCCATAGTATGTTCTTGTCACATATAATGACAAACAGGACTTCGTTTTTTAAAAAAAGTTGTTGTGTTCTAACTTTTCTTTGCAACCATACCAGGAAATATATTTCAACAATATTCTTGTCTGTTGCTGGTAAATGTTTTCTAATGTCTGAATTCAAACTGTTACAAAACTTGATTGTCAGCCTCTGGGGTCTTTGGACTCCTTGCTACATCTCAGGTTGATTTACAAATTAATTTAAAAGATCTATTCAACTAAAAAGAGCTTTGGAGTGTAATTACCGTATTTTTCGCTCTATAAGACGCACCTGACCATAAGACGCACATACCGGTACTATACTATTTCTCTGTCCCTCTTTCTCTCCCTCTATTTCTCTCTCAAGGCCAGCTTTGCTTCATATAATAAATAGCTAATAATGAAATGACTGAAAATAAGCTTCATTTATTAATGAATCTATTTAATTAAAATGAAGGGCGAATGCCATGATATTAATTTGCATAAGGATGTTTTTTTAGAATTAACATATTTCATTTTGGCAAAACAATGTATTTCCATTGATTCAGTAATAGACTTCAAATATACAGGCTTTGGCTATAATTCTAAGCAATTTTATTTGGAATCAAATTTCTTTTCATAGTAACACAGAATTGCATAAATCATATTCCATTATTAGTTTGCACAGATTGGTTAATTTGCACT